GTATCACCCACTAGACATAGTTCACCTACCAGTGGCTGCATTCTTAAAGAAAACTGACTCTGTAACCCCCCCCCCCCCATATTATCATCTCACTCACATTTGGCTTCTTCTCCTTCTCCTTATTCTCCTCCTCCTCCTTTTCCTTCTTCTTCTTCAAGACAGGGTTTCTCTGTAGCTTTGGAGGCTGTCCTGGAACTAACTCTGTAGACCACGCTGGCCTGGAACTCACAGAGATCTGCCTGCCTCTGCCTCCTGAGTGCTGGGATTGAAGGCGTGCACCACCTCCACCTGGCCCACACATTTGGGTTCTTATGAATAGTAAATGGAAAGTAATTTAAAATCATCTCATCTATCTTCATGATGCCTTTTCTCATTTGTGCCTTTTAGTCCTTTTTCTGTAGAGGCACAAACATATTTGGGATTTTAAAATTATGTTATGCTTTCAAGTACAATTATAGTGTTGTTTAAATTTCTTTCTTTCACATAGTATGTAAATTTCTTTACAAAAGGTTTCCACGCTATCATACCAACCCTTTTGGCAGGGGGCTTCACATTTCTGCCAGGTGGTCTTCTAAAACACAGATCCTTGCATTAGTTTGTGTAGACTCTTCTGTGGCAAACTACAGATTACAAGGGGAGTCTCCCATTGCACTGAGAGCAGGGAAACGGGGCAGTCCCTCCCTTCTGAAGTATACCTGGCTGCCTGTAGAAAGTGCTAGCTCATTCTTACGGGTTGGCTATGTTAACCAGAAAAAAAGATAGCCAGTGATGGAGTTTTGGGGATGGAAGAAGGAAGAAGGCCAGAGCTAGAGCCAAAAAGGGCTTGGTGCTTGGTGATAGAATATAGGAGACTCTGTGTCTGGACCGTGTGAGTCATGGCTGGAGAAGTGCACTGGGGCTAGGTCCGCTTGCCTGGGATCTTTGGTACCCTGTTAAATTACAGCTGGATTCACTGGCATAACACTCTCAGTCAGAAGAAACCCTGCACTCTCTAAATTGCTATATACTTAGCCATCCTTCTCTAAAGACAGTCCTCATTCTAGTAGGAATTTGTTGGATTGTTTTGTTTACTTTGTGCATAATGATTTCCTCCAACATCCTTTTTTGTCTAATGCATTCAGTCAGTGCTTAATAACTGTACGTAGAAGAAATGGGCAACATACAAATTTTTCTTTATACAGAGGAAGATAAGAAAAGTTGATCATATTAACTTCATTCTTTTGAACACAGCAGGAAGAATAGAAATGTACATTATTGACAGAAACACTTATTCTCTGAAGTGTAATGTTGTCTTCCACGATAATCTTTTGTGTTCCTTGCCTGTAAAGTCTCACATCTATGAAACTGATGGGATGTGAATTCTCTTGAGATATGTAATGTTTCAAAGCATGTAATAAATTACTTCTTTAATATAGTAGACAGCATGCAAATTACATTGCATTATGATATAGTGATCTCCCAAGGCCAGAAGGTCTTAATAAAAAAAAAAAGAGCACATTTGTAAAACACTCTTCTTGTGTGTTTACATTTAATAAATATTCTTTTCAAATCCATTCAGCAAATATAACAGATGGAGATGAGCCTAGTTCTGCTTTATGAAACCTTCGAAGATGCCTTTGGGAATTCTCTTTTGTAGTTCATATTTGAATTGTGCAATATTTCAGAAATATAAATGTTTCCTGCCTCTCTTGTAACAAATCCAAACCAGTCTACTTGAGTGCTTCTTCAGACTCATCAAAAACACATTTATTACTATCACACAAAGCCCTAATAGTTTCTTGCCATCTTTAGTGTTTAATTCCTTAATTTGAGTGTTAATGTTGTAGAAAGATTTCACGGCCTTTTAGCTGTTGACAAATATTTATTTAAGTCACTAGTTCCCAAACATGGGGACAAAAATGACTAGCTGGACCTGAGGGATGCCTCCTTATTATTCTGACTAAAAACATGCGAGTCTTTGCCTCCCTTCACTTGTTTGGTGTCATAGTTACACATCTCATCATGACAAATTAGTAATATCTGTCATCTTACAATTTCTTTGGGCCCTGAAGCAGGCACGGCTTAGCTGTCTTAGCTATGGTTTTTGTAAACTCGTAGCCAGGGTGAGTCACCCAGCCTCTGCTGGAGAAAGCTGTGCTGGGAATTCAGGCTGTGGCTCCTGGCAGTGCTCCTTCCTGATGCTAGCCGCTAGCCACAGGCCTCCTCATCCTTCCAGAGTGAGCTTCTCCACTGGGCACCCTACGCCATGGCAGCTGGCTCCCTTCCGGTGGCCAGGGTGGAGCAGAGAAAGAAATGGAGCACAGTGTGGCCCACTCCTGAAGTGCTGTCCCCCTTCAGCCCAAGAAAACGTTAGGACCGTAAATTCCTATTTTGTCCTGTGACAGCTTCTGTACCTGGAGGCAGAGGATAGTCGTATGTATATATGTATATGAATGCTGGAGATTAATCTGGCACCATTAGAAAATTGAAGATATTGTTGTAACGAATATATAAATATACAACTGACCACTTTAGGCTCTTATTCAGTAATCTCTGCACATCTTGCATAATCTCCAGATGGCTGGTCCGTGTTGTTTTGTCCTTGAAGATTCTGCTGTGGAGGGTCTGCCTGTTCAGGACATCTCCTGTTGAGACTGTGGCTGTAGCTTATATTTACTCCCAATAATTAATTACACGAGAGATTCATCTTTTGTATATTTACATACTTGTATTTTTAAAATGAGTATTTCAAAAATTGTGCTTTGGAGATCAGCTTTTATTATCCAGTGAATAGGAAGCCAGAACTGTATGTCTGAGGCAGTGGTTACAGTGTCCTACTGAACTAGACCACTCTGTGAATCACCCAGGGCCTCTCTTAGTTCCAAGAGAACCCAGCCTTCCCAGGTCACACATTCCCAGGACAGTCTGGCCTCGGAAGAGTCAGTCCCATGGCCAGCTTAGGCCTCGGTTCTCAAAGGTTTAAATTTTATTTTATGTATGAGTGTTTGCCTATGTGTGTGTCTGTGTACCATGCAAGTATGTCTGTGCCTGTGTGCTGTGTGTGTATATGTCTGTGTGAATCCACCATGTGTGTGTATGTCTGTGCACATGTACCATATGCATGACTGATGCCCAGATCAAAAGAGGGTGTCAGATCCCCCCAAAACTTGAGTTACAAATGGTTGTGAGTTACCATGTGGGTGCTTGGAATCCTTTTCTTTTGCAGTACCAGGGAAGGAGTGTGTGTGTGTGTGTGTGTGTGTGTGTGTGTGTGTGTGTGTGTGTCCTAGTCCCTTAAGGCAACTTTATTAAGGTGTAACATACACTGAGTTGCATCTGTTTTTAAGTGTACAGCTCATGAGTTTTGACAGGTGTATACTCCATAACCTTTGAAATAATCAAGATATGGAAGGCTCACTATAGTGAGCACTTCTCAGTGACTTTTCTGTAACTGGATTTGACTTGCTTTTGATCATGATTTCATGTAAATGGGTTATATAGTAAGTATTGTTTGGGATCTGACACAAACTTACATATTCTTTGTATCTCTTTTTGTTTGTTTGTTTTTTTTTTTTTTTTTTTTTTTTTTTTTGAGGCAGGGTTTTTCTGTATTACATCCCTGGCTGTCCTAGAACTCAATTTTGTAGACCAGGCTGGCCTCAAACTTACAGAGATCCACCTGCCTCTTCCTCCCCAGTGCTGGGATTAAAGGTGTGTGCCACCAACGCCTGGAGTTCTCCTTTTCTTTTTATTTCTGAGTAGTATTAATTGTATGTATATACCAAAATTGAAATACTCCAGTGAACGGCCTTTGTATATTGTGAATAAAGCTGGTAATGAATATCTGTATGCAGGTATTTCCACTAATACATACATAGTTCCTGAGTAAGTAAATTGCCGAATACTGATCTGTATGATAATAAGCTAAATGTTATATGAAACAATTATTCTATTGGACATTGCTAGTCACTATGAATGAAAGTTGTGTATAGTTGCTTCATGTTTCCTCTGGGCACTGGCAGTTTAAAACTTTGGCCGTTTAAAATGTGTGATGCTATTACTTCATAGCTTAACATATATGTTACTGATGATACGAGCTTCTTCATCTGTTCTTTGGCCAAAAGCGTGTATTCTTTGTCACTTGTCAGGACAAGCATCTCTTGGCCAACCTGTACTAGCATCCTCGTAGATTCACAAGCACTACACTTGGCCTTGTAACCGCCATTTATCCCAAGCCAGACACCAGTATATGGCGGCTCCTTGCACCAGTATGTGGCAGATGCATTTACTATAAAATAAAATGGTTTTGGGTGGACCATCCCAGGGCAGAGGTTATACTTGGTTTGGTGACTATCCTGGTAACTAAGGGACTTGCTCCTTAGAGCAAGAGCAAAGTGGCTTTGGTTTTCAATTGTTTTAAATTTAATGATTGATATTCCTGGTAAAATAAAAATGAATTCATAGAAAAATGAAATGCCCATAGAGAAATACAAGCTCCGATATTTATACATTCAACAGATATATAGTAACTGTATAAAATTGCTATTAAGACTTAAATGACCTCTTGATTTTCATATTTATTGTTGTGGATATGAAAGTGAATTTGAGGGCCAGTGATGGTCCATGGACCTGGCCTGTTGATGTCCTCTGTTAAGTCAGGGGAAATGTGGTCCTTCAAAAGCCCATGTGGCTCAGTGTGTCATGTGGCTCAGTGTGCCCATGTGTCGGATGCTCTTGTTTTCTGGGTACCTATGAGCCAGAGAATTCTCTAAAGGATGATGGATGGGTGAAATCTATGTAAAGGGCTTATAGTCAGAGTACATTGCTGCCAAGGACTGCAAATGAAGGGCCAAGGGGTGTTTTTTGGAGTAAACAGAAGAAAACAAGCCCATATCCAAGTTGTAGACAAGTCACTCTATCGAAGTTTCCGGTAGATGCTTTAGAGGGTGCAAGAATTTAAACTAGCTGGTCCCTCTATGAATAATCCCACAAACAGAGACTCCCACCTACTGCCTTTTCAGAAACCACACAGATTGAAGATCCAAGGAAACAGTGGCGGGGCGAGCAGGAGAAGATGCTCAAGGACTATCTCTCCGTGGCCCAGGATGCACTCAGGACGCAGAAGGAGCTGTACCAAGTGAAGGAGCAGAGGCTGGCCCTGGCCCTGGATGAGTATGTCCGCTTGAATGATGCCTACAAGGAAAAGTCAAGTTCTCGAACAAGCCGTGAGTACCGGTCACTACAGATTTGAGATGAGTTTGTAGATAGGTGTAGACCACTCACACTCCTGTGGAGTTAAGCTCTGAGCCCCTTTCCCTCCTAGACAAGAACTCCTCCAAGTCATGAGAGATGAGGGGGACCCAACAGATGGTTCAGGGAAACACCCCATCCCCACTTGAGCCACAAGTCTCCCCCATTTGGTCATCGGGCTTCTGTTTCTCCTGTTGCTTCTTCCCGATTGCCTTTTGTTTGGGTAAATTTCTTTGTAAGAACAAAGACAGGAGGTTAGAAGCATGGAACTAGTCACAGAGAGCTGCCAGCAGCCCAGAGAGTTGCCAGCAGCCCAATATGGGTGTTCAGAACTGAACTTAGCAGATCCTATGGAAGAGCAGCAAGCACTCATTGCAGCCCAAATTTGAGTCTTTTAAAGGTGGCTTTTGTTCACTGTTGCTCCTAGGAAGAAACTGAGACTGTTGGACCTCAGGCCCCTCCCTCTCCTCTATTCACGTATCAGTCATCAGGAGTTGGCTTTAGTTAAACACACAGCTATGATGAGCTCCAATTTTATGACATAGTCCCCTAAGGAACTGTGCAGCAGAGCTCTTTAAGGACCCAGGACAAGTTCCTTTCAGTGTTTTTGTACCCTGAGGTTTTGTTTTTAATATGACAAAGGCTTGAAGAGGCATACCTGGTGGTTCATGCCTGTAATTCTTGCACTTGGAAGGCCGAGGCAGGAGAATTTACTACAACTTTGAGGCTAGCCTGAGCTGCATAGTAAGACCCTGTTTCAAAAAATAAAATAGGCTTGACATAAGTGTGAAAACCTATCTCCTAAAAGAAAAAAGCAGTTCCTACAAAAGAACTTAAATCATGGCTCTGTGTGTGTGTGTGTGTGTGTGTGTGTGTGTGTGTGTGTGTACACATACATGTGTATGTGCGCATTCGTGTTAAAGGGTTTTTATTTTGGGACAGGATCTCACTAAGTTGTTTAAGCTGCTCTTGAACTTGCCTTTTAGCCCAAGAAAACTCGGTTTTGCAATCTTTCTGCTTCAACCTCCCATCTAACTGGGATATAGGGCTGGCCTGGAATGCCAGGTCACAACCCCAAAACATTACTTCTAAAATCAGTAAATTCTAAGCTTACAATTACTGTAATAGACAGGTAATATTTTTTTTTTCCTCTCTTAAAAGTCTTCTCAGGGTCTTCATCCAGCACTAAATATGATCCTGATATTTTAAAAGCTGAGATCTCCACCACGAGACTAAGGGTAAGATTGTTTTCATTGTGGTTCTTGATTGAATAAGTGCACAGAGGCTTGGGCCATGGGGGAAGCATGAGCGACTGCCTCCCATCTCTGCCTCTGAAGGGAGGGAACTTCACTCTGCCCTGCAGGGCAGCCTTTCTCCTTTGTTTGAAGGATGGTTGGGGTTACTTTTGTCTCCCATCCAAGTGCCAGCCAGACCTCACCCTGCTTAGCTTCAGAGATCAGATATCTAAGTATCGTGGCCTAGCCTGGGATATGTGTGTTGCCATTGTTGGCTTTTCTTATTAGCAGTTAGTGTATGCAAGGGAAATCTACATCCTGATGATTTACTCTACCTCTTTGTCTTTCATCAGACGCCCTGGTATTTAAAAGGGTGCCTGCAACTTCCACTACCTTGTTGGTCTGTCATCCCTTCTCAGGATGGATTATTTCCTGATCATTGGGCTAATTATTTTGATTAAGCCGTTAACTACAGATCTTGTTTATCCTTGATTGGGGTGATCATATGGGCTGTTTATGAGCAAATTATATCATGTGTAATAATTACCATGGTCATGAAGCAGATTATCATCATAACCTCCATTGCACCCTCTCACATTATAAACTCTCATTGCCATTCTCTGCTAGGAGCAATGCTCGCCTTGCTAGCGCTGAGTCTAATGCTTTCATTAACATTGCCAAACTGGAATGCTTCTCATGTATGTTTTCCATGGCATTTTCTTCCTGCGTTCTTCCAGGATTCATCCACCTTCACTTTTAAAGCTAGAGAGCTACTTCTTTGGCAGATACACTTCTCTGGTTTACCACCGATGTGTATTTGTTTACTCCATTTCCTGGTCATTCATAACTGTCTCTGTGTATGCATCATACATACTTTTGGTACATACATGTACGCAACTTTTTGTTTTTTGAGGCAGGGTTTATCTGTATAACAGCCCTGCATGTTCTGGAACTCACTTTGTAAACCAGGCTGGCCTTGAGCTTACAGAGACCTTCCTGCCTCTGCCTCCCAAGTGCTGAGATTAAAGGCACATATCCCTGGCTACATCTACACATTTTTAAGAAAAGAATGAAATTGGTGTGTTAAAGAATGAACACATCTTTTAGTAGGGCTAGCTTAGTGGGAATGCTTGCCTAGCATGTGCCTCAAGACAAACAAGCAAACAAAGCCACCTTCTGTTCTTCGGTGGGAATTGCTAGAGGTTTAACCATTCTTGCTTCAAATATTTGCATTGAGGCTCTAAGTCACTTAATGCCTATGATCTTTGCTTACATTCCGTAGGTTTTGAAGTTTGAATTATTACTCTCATGAGCTCCAAATCCTTGCCTGTCTCTCTGAGAATTCATAGATATAAGTATATTGCTTCATTTTCAAACAACTGGAGATTTTTATCACTATTACTTATCTCAAACATTCTATGTACTTTTCAATGGTTTAATTTATTTATTTGGTTCCCAGTTCCTTGCCCACATTCTGTACATTAATATGTATAGTTTTGACCAAAATAGCCATAGTACTTTACATTTCCATGCCTTGATTAATGCAGGGCCTGAATCTCCTGTCATCTGGGTCCTTGGGTCTAGTGCTTTTCTGTTTGCTTTTGATCAGTTCTTGATCCTTATAGATGCTTACTTCTTAGGAGCCATATAGTATGTGTACAGTAATACAAAGATAACTTTAAGTTTTGGACGATCTTGCATTTTGCAGAGCACTTAGCTTTGCTTCATGTAGGCATTTGGGTTGGGAGCAGATGGTTAAAATCCAGTCAGAATTGGAAATGATTGCAATCCCTTTCTTAGGGTGGGTTGATCTCTCAGAGCTGCCCTTGAGCTCATGAAAGCAGACTGCCCCCTACTCCCACCCCAAACTCCATCAGCTTTGTGAGGCTGAACTCCCAACCTCTGCCCTGAGCTGTGTGGGCTTGACTGCCCACCATTCTTGTATGCTCTGCTTACTGCATAGAACGGTCCTCAGGACAGAGTGTCCCATGGGGGTCATGGCTGTGTTCCTTTCACCCTGGGGGTCTTTAACATAGTTCTGTGGGCCTAGCGGTTCTCCAGGAACTTCAGATAGATGGTCTGGTTTGGTTTTCCTTATAGTTTACTCAGTGGTTCTCAGAAAAAAAAAAAAAAAAATGACGAAAAGTTCACATGTGGACTCCTGTGTGGGCTGAGGCTGTAGCGAGGGCCCTGAGTTCATTCTCTAGGACAAAACAGAAACAAACCCCCCAAAGCACAAACTCAAATCCCATCTACCAAAGTCCAGATTCTCCTCATTTCATTTATAAAATTGTGTGTAGAAGTGGCCTGTGTCGCCTCATAGTAAATAGTCTTCAGGGTGTCATGGACCCTCTTGCCGGCCAATCATCTATGTTTCTCAAGAGTACTTGTGCAGTGGGCTCAAATGCTTTGTCCCATGTCTGTGTGCCTTGTCCTTATGTTACTGTGATTTATTTCTTAGTATTAATAACTTACTTTGAGAACATGGAAATAAAAGCATTTTTGTTAAAACTTGCTCTTCCCAAACTTACTACCACTTCATTGAGACTTTTTCAGGAAGTTACTACTGTCCTCTGAAACGTTAACCATTTTCATAATTATATTTTGTGACACAAGTCATAGCCACAGAAGACCACTGTAGTCTGTGCATTCACGGCAGAAAACATCGAAACTTTGGGAGGGGTTAAAAACAAAGACACACTAAGGCCCCTCACACAAATAACCAATAAGAAGTTCCTGTCAGTCAGGGATCTCAGGTCACCTCTATGTGGTCACATCCCCAGACCTGCTTCCTAATGAGTCCTTGACAAGGCTTGTGCTGTGCCAGGATTTCTGGTCTTAATTAGGGGCATTATATATTTATTGTACCTGTTCTGTCACCTCGTGACTGCAAGGTGAGCCAGAGAGAGATGCTCTCCTTCAGAAAGTGGGTCCGTGAAGAAGTGGATGTAAGGGCTGTGAAGAAGTGGCCCTTATCGCTGTCCTTAGATAGATGGACAGTTGAAAATGCCCTTTAGAAGCAGTCAGAGCCCCACTCTGCCACTGCTTTATGCTGGAGCCTGCTTTGAGCACCGGGGCTGGCTCTGCTAACTCTCCCAGTGATGGCTGGGTGGCACTTGGGGAAGGGATGGCTGGGTAGTGCTTGGGGAAGAGATGAAGGGCATGGCTGGATGGCACTTGGGGAAGGAAGGAAGGTGATGGCTGGGTAGCACTTGGGGAAGGGAGGAAGGGGATGGCTGGGTAGCACTTTGAGAAGAAGAGGATGGCTGGGTAGTGCTTGGGGAAGGGAGGAAGGGGATGGCTGGGTGGCACTTGGGGAAGGGAGGAAGGGGATGGCTGGGTGGCACTTGGGGAAGGGATGGGTACCAATATAGAGTCTCTGAGGACATGAAAGCTGCTTTCATAGGTTGATTCTGAAGGTAGTAATTGATTAAGGAACTAACCACACCCCTCTGGCACCCACCTGCATTTTAAATCACACTGTGTCATAAACAAGCACTATTTTTTTTTTTTTACTTCATTGCTTTGATGGAGCAATATTATCAAGTTAGTACTGTATAGCTTTTCCTGGGGAGATAGATAGGTGCCTATCCACAGATAGGACATGAATAGGCAAAAGAAACTACTCTTATTTGGTCCATCCTGGTGATCTAGGAGGGTTACTAGGGTCATACAGCAGGAGCATGGGCTACTTACCAAATTGTGATACATCTTAGATAGATATATCACCAAAAAGCCCAGCCCAGCATGACTGAGGACTCATTACAACTGTATCTCTGGAGTCTCCTGTGCAATTAAATTTAAGGTTTGATTTGTAATTGTGCATAGAGAACTAATTAATTAATATAAAATATTATGCTTTAAGCAGTATTCTAAATAGGTAATAAAATCATACCAATGTGTTTGACATAAAAATATGCCATATGATATGAATCACTACAAATAAGGATTGACTTTTTATTTCCCATGAAAAAATCTCTTTATTTACATTTTGTATAAACTTTAGCTTAAAGAGGTAGATGCCTGTGATCCCAGCCTGGGCAATCCTACCAATCCTATTAGATCATATCTCTCTCTCTCTCTCTCTCTCTCTCTCTCTCTCTCTCTCTCTCATTCTCTCTCGTGCTCTCTCTCTGTCTTATGCACCACACACACACATTCTGAACTCTTACATTCTGAGTTTCAGATGCTGCTGACCTTATTTCCAGTGACGAATGCTAATTTGTAACCCCAGCATTTGTATTAGATGTTTAGATGAATTTATTTATTAATACTTGGTGTTTGGCTAAAGAATACAGTACAACTTCTTAGCGGTTTTGAATGAAGTTAAGAATTAATATGGCTAAGAAAAAGAGGAACCTGGAAGAGAAATTGAGAGAAGATGGTCCAGTACAAGAGCTATCTATACACATGCCCTGCTAGTAACTTCAAGGTAATTCATAGCACATTCATGCCCCCTTTTCCTCAAAAGAATCAGTGTCAGGCCTTGAGAAGATATAACAATCATTTTGTGGATTTAATGATATTTTAGTTCTGTTTTTCTCTAATGATTTTGACCCCTCTGCATTCTTTTTAAGGGCTCTGTACTGCAGGCTAACTAATATATGCAAATGAATTCTTCCTTGACATTGTGTTGTTGAGAGATTCATAGCTTCTTCTCAGTCATGTAAGTCACTAGCCTCTCTGCCCTGACTCTCAGTCACCCTTATTTCTACTGTGCTTGGAGAATTTTACAAAATTAAATGCAGCTGACTTCTCTAGGGAAGAATATAGTGTCTTCCTATAGTAGACACACACACTCACACACACACACACACACACACATACACGACAGTATTGGCAAGGGAACAAATACATTTGTAAATGATCAGTTTCGATGGTTTTATGAAGCCTGGACAAACGGCCAGAACAGGAAAAGAAAATTTAAAGCAGACTAAAGGGGAATTAGATTAAAAAATACTTTATTAGGATTAGGAAGGGAATATGATGGAAATATATTGTAT